AAAAATGTAATGTCAACCAAAATGAAATGGAACGTGGTTAGCCATGGTTACTAAGTCTTAGGTTGGAGAAGGCATGGGTGAATAAAACCTCTTCCACACTGTTGGTAGGGTAGACAGGGACAAGAAATTTCCAGAGGACAATTTAGATAAACCTCTCCAAAACTTTAAAATTCTAGTTTTTGTATTAACTCAGAACTTTTATTCTTATGTGGGTATGTCAATAAAAATTAATACACCTAGCTGTAGGGATTATCATTACAATAATAATAGTAAAGACTGCAAATAATCACGTAAAATAAATTATGGAGAGTTGATATACTACTTAATATCATGAAAAACTTCTACCATAAATGGTCCTGTAAAACGAGCAAATTACTTAATAAGTACAGGAATATAATTACATATATATATAATATATACGCATGCATATGTAATTTTATTTCTATATATACACACATATATATGTATATATACAGAAAGTTTGGGGTTTTTTGCAAATAAGTATGTCTATATTTGAGTGTGTATGTAAATGCATGTTAACACATAAACGTATATGTATATATGTACATATATTTCTAACTAAATAGACACAGACAAGTATTAGTAATAATTATTGACAGGAAATAAGAATATAAGTGATTCTAATTTTATGTCCTTTCGTGAATCTACATTTTCTAAAAATTTCACAACAAACACATATTAACATAGGAGTAAGAAAACATGAAAAAAAATACACTTTTACACTTTAAAACAGGTATGCTTTCCTTAAGGCAGCAGAAATCCCTTTTTCACATGAAATCTTATGTGAAAACCCAACTCACAGAAGCTATGAAATGTGTGAAGCAAGGGTGGCAGGCCTAGAGTCCTGTTCACTTGGTGGATGTCCTTGAAGACCCACTTTGGAGGGTCAGGGCTAGAGGATTCTGTACCATGCACACTGCCACCCGCTCTAGGAGTAAAGTGCTTTTAGTGAGCCCTGACCATGTAAGCGAGGCCCGTGACTTCTGCCTGGTACGTAATAACTCATAAACTAACAGCCCATTCCATTTTAATTCACTGCATTCCACATTATATATTCATTTATTGAGCATTAAAATTTTCCCCCCAGATTTTAACTTTGCATCACATTAGTTTACCTATGGACTAGAACTAAAAGATTTTATCATTACATTGGGAGAAACTCGGAGGATTATACTTGATACCACCAGCCTCAGATTTCCTTGAAGGTCAATATGAGAAATGACCACAGAAAGAATGAATCTCCATCTTCTCTAAAAGTAGCATTAAATACATTTTTCCATTCTGATGTTCAAAGTTCCTTACATAAGGATGCATGTGATAAATTCTCCTAAAATTTTAGTACTGGAAAAAAACGTTTGCTATTTTTATAAATAAGTGTGATTTCCTTTTATAATGCTGTTTTATTCCAATATATCTCCTCATGTTTCCCTTTTGACTTTGTCTTCCAGAAAGCTCAGAATCATGTTTATTGCCAAGTTATAGAAACAAACAGCTGCCCTATCTTGCAGAAAAACTCTCTCAGAACACTTTCGTATTTATCCTCAACTAAACGGTCCCATGATATGCATGGCTCATGTTATGTGATTTTGAGATAGATCATTTTCACACACAGAAATGCACTGTATGACTCTTAGGCAATAGTGTGTGTGTGTGTGTGTGTGTGTGTGTGTGTGTGTGTGTGTGTGAGTGAGAGAGAGAGAGAGAGTATGTGCATTCATTAAACTTCAACAGCAGACTAAAAGACATTCAGTGGTTTAAACATACTTCTTTACCTTTCAGGAAGGTCCAATGTTTAATTCTTATTGTCAACTTTAATTAGATCATTTTACAACAAGTACTAAATAGGGCACAGAATATGGGGGCAGGCCCTCAAGTTTTTGGAATGACAATGATATCAATAGTTTATCTATGTTATTTCATTTAAGGGACATGATTATTCTTTTGGTGGTGTTGTTTTTTTCTGAGATGCATAATAACATGGCAATGTACTAACACAGTAGAATTTGCACTAAAAATAATTTGGGTACAAGGACCTAATAGGGGCGGAATCTTGATCATTGGAATTGGGAAGCAGTTTTCTGTTCTAACACCAGCACTGTTGAGGCTCTGCAGTAAGTTGGGTCAGTCGATGAGAGAAAAAGGCTGTCACTGCTAAAACAATTTGCCACAGCATTCACAACAGCGCCCAAACCAGCCAGAAGCAAGCACACCAGTCAGGCTCCCAGGACTCTATCTTCCTACTCTTGGAGGTCTGCATAATAATCCACAGGTGAGCTTCCATCAAAGTAGTGATGCTTGGTATTCAAGAGTCCAGAATCTGGACTTCCATTTCCTAAATTTAAACCCTAGTTTACCACTCAATGTTGACTGAGTAAAATGGGGATAGTGTCTTATTTTGAGTCTTTCTGTAAATTAATGAGATCGTCAGTTAAAGGCAGCCAGCCAGAGCATGGCTCATGGTCCATCTTCAATTTAGGTCAATTTTTATTGTTATTTGTTATTTAGACTTAAAGCATCACCTACTAAAATGCAAGTACCCAGCAAAGCATGTCTCGTTATTGGTTAATACTTTAGCAGAGATTCTCACCATGTGACTGTCAGTTAAGATGCAGAAGGCAGCAAAGGATTCAGGTTTGAAACCTAGGAGAAGCAGGGAATCAACCTTTAGGAGAGAAATAGCTCTGACATTTGCTCAGAGACTCAGTGATTCTTCTACATGAAAAAGCACCCAATCACTGCAGCTACTCAAGCATAAACCCTCACAGTCACAGAAAGGCGACCTAATCGTGGAAGCCAGATCACAGGATCCACGGCCCTCAGGCCTTGGGACTGCCCCTCTATCAGCTGCCCCACCTCAGAGGACTCCCTACATGGACTTTCTGTGCTAAGAGACATACAAGTGCAAAGCTGCCACGTTGAATCTGTGTTTTCTGACTTGCCAAGCGCACAGGCAGAGATTGCAAACACTGGTGTGTGGGATATGGCCATTCCTGGGGAGGCTGTCTATACTGGATCCTGTGCTGATGGCAGGTGGAAAGTCAAGGTCTTTCTCTATGGAACAATTATGTGTGTACCCTTTCCCACTAAGTGCAGACTTCCATTTGTAAAGTCATCCATCACCCCTATAAATCAGTCATCTCAACACCCTCTCCCATCCAGCAAGGAGAGAAGAGCATTTTGGAGACATTCTATGAAGCTATTATGTATAAAATGGATGGATTATTATTATGATTTCTCCCCAGGGTACCAAGGAGAGGCTGATTCTGAACAAATCATTCACATTCACTCCTTGAGAGAGACTTCATTTCACTTCCTGCTGGGTCAGGGAGGAGTACACACCTAGACACGTGCATTCACACACACACACACACACACACACACACACACACACACACACACCCAGCTCCCTGTGCAGCATGAAGTACTGACCTGTTAGGCCGGCAGCCTCGGCAGACAGGAAGGCACTCCAGGACAGGAGGAAGAACAGGCCCGTTTCCAGCATTGGGAACTCACACAGTTTGGTAAATTTGGTCAAGTGATAAAATGTGTTAAGGGAAACACCAACTGGTTTGACAGCTACATCACCGTACTGACTGAGAAAAGCTGATCTGGTAATGATATTTCAGAGTGAAAGACTGATTTTCAGTGCCAATCTCAGTGGGCCCTTCTCGAAGACCAGAGCAAATTCCATGCTTTGCTGGGGGCTGAACATGCCCATGAAAATAATTCAAACCTGTGTTCAGACAGCGGAAGTGTCTAGGAAGAGTATAAACCCAGCAGATTGTGGGTGCAAAACCTCTGGAAGTTGGCCTCAGGCCATGCGTGGGGTGTGCCCTTAGGAGAGCTGTGGCAGGTACCCAGGAGCCCAGGAGAGTATGGCTAGAAGGAGATCCCCAGGGAGCAGCCTGGCCTTCCACTGTCCTGTGTGGGCTGGCAATAAACACAGTGCCCGCTCCCACAGTGTGGAGAGTGGCATGAGGTGAAGTTGCTAAAAATGTTTTGAATGGTTTAGAAAGCACAGAGTGCCAGGAGGCAGGATGACCTCGGTGGCCTCGGAAACTGACTCCACATGGGTTTGTATTCACCATATCTACATTTCTTGACCCCTCTGGGCTTCTGATGTCCTTTCAAAAAGTGGAGGTAATACTACAGTCTACCTCATTGGCATGTATACCAATTAGTACATGTTAAAAACTCAGAAAAGCACCCTGAAACAAAAGTGATATTAATTTTTTTTATGTTAGTGATATAAATTTTTTTTTTAAAAAATCTTCACCGAAAATAGAAGTAGCAAGACCCCCAAAGCAACTCTATGGAGTGAAAAAGGGTTGCCCTTAGGCCTCTTTCAAAACCCCTTTTGTGGCTTGGAGGAGGGAAGCCTTTGTTTCTAGAGGAATTCCTCAGAATTCCTCTTCTGATTTGTCTTAAAGAGGAAGCTCTTAAAAAAGAAATAAGTAAATATAAATATATTCATAAATATATAATCTATATATATATATATATAAAAGAGGAGGCTCAGTCCAAGCTTAAGTAACAGGATCTCAAAGGGCTACAGGGCCTTCTTTTTACTTAATCACCTCTAGAAAGTGGCTGGGTTCTGAGTTAACCCCAAGGTGCAGAGCCTGGAGCTACAAGCCGAGGACACTCTGCCTTAGTCAGGAAGGGAGATGAGGGGATGCAGGTGGATCTGCCTCCCTCAGGCCTGTTGGCCCTGCAAGTCCTAGCTGTGCAGCCTTAGCCAAGTTGTTTAACCTAAATTATGCTCCTTCAGCTGTAAACTTGAGATAATAACAGCACCTGCC